ACAAAATTAGGGGTTACTCCCTCTATTTATAGATTTAGGTTAGCCAAATACCAAAACTATAAAAGTCCAAAATACCTATTTTGGTACTAAATCAAATCTATCTATTTTAGATCTAAATCTATCTAAATCTAAAACCAATCAAATATGTGTGTAGCTTGCTTCGATCCACAAGCTCTTCGACTGAGAAACTTCCCTTCGACACACACACTTCGACACTCCGTTGTTTCTATCGAGCAAACTTTTCGACACAGGGAATTACTTTCAATAAATAAGACTAATCTCTTTGTAAAAATACACCGATAATGAGAATAATACAATGGTATTTCTCTCTTCTCTTTCTCTCATTCGTTTCTACTCTTTTATTATATTGTTTCTCATTAATTTCATAACACGTTCTTAGTATGAAGCTACCCGTTATTTCTAATATATTTATTAAAAAAATAATATTATATAAGTTCCTGAAGAGCTTATCAAGCATTCCTGAAGGATAGCAAAACAATAGTCTATTATATAATTCCTGAAGAATTCATTAAGCATCGCTGAAAGATAGAAAAATAACAGTTTGATATATAGTTTCTAAAAAACTTATCAAATATTCCTGAAGGATAATATGAAGACTTTATCAAGCCGCTACCTAAAGGATTACAAAGTTCCTGAAAAACTACAAAATTTTTTTATTGAATTCCCGAAAAACTACACAAAAAAACAAGAATGTATTGTTTTTATCATTTGTTATATCGTTCATTAAGAACTATATATTTCCCTAAATAATTGATCATCTAATTTTTTTTATCGTCTATGATGATTGAGCATTGTTCTTGATGAATTAATATTTTAATATCAAAATCTTTTGAAGGATCGTAAATTTTTATCATAGCGATTCTGGTTGAGTTATATAAGATAATAAACTATATATTTCTTAATTAAATATTATTAATTTGTTATAAATTATTGATTGACAAAATTAATTTGATTAATTTAATATTTAATTTATAATATAATGTTATAGTTTTGTGACTAATTTATTAAAATTTAAAAGTATTTATTTGATAATAAATATTATTAATTTGCTTTATTGTATTAGCATGTTTTATAAAAAAATTAAAATAAAATGAATCGCTCAAATATAAAGTAAAAAAAAATTATTTTAAATTTTTTATATTGTAAAGATAAGTCTTAACAGTGATTTGATTGATTAAATTATTTTCTTAAAAATAATGTATTTTATAGTATACATATATTTTCTTTTGTTTAATTTTCTAATAAACAAATATTTATTTATTTTTATTTCAAATTTGTTTATTAAGTTATAATTCTTGCATAAAATATGTAGAGTTATTTATATTTGTTGAATAATTTTTGTACTCTACACTTTATATATATAAAGCGTAAGAAAATATAGTAATGTATTTTATGTACTATGTGATTATTAGCATATTTTAAAAACTTTTGATTTAAATGTCGAACTTGTAATTATATTATATGCCATCAATCTATATATTTTTGTTATTTACTATGAATTGATACAAATTAGAAGAATAGAATCATATGTATTATTGTAAATCAGTAGTTTACAAATCACACTTAAGTGTGTTGTTGGCAAAATTGGTTGGTCATCTGAATGTATTACGATGCGAAAATTAATATTGAAGAACCTGAAATTTCTTCAATCCAATAAGTTTTGTATGTTCCTAAAGAAAATTAAAAAAGTTGTAAGTTGCGTTTTTATATAACATATGTAAGGTGATACTTGTGAATCAATATACCAATCATGTAGATGATTTAAATATTTTATGATATTAAATATTGCATCGACTAAAAAATCATATATATGTTTGTTGTCTATTCACGGTCATAAGTTTGTAAAATTGTTTTCTCAACTAAAAGATCATGAATATGTTTATGATTTGAAAAACTAGTATTGAAGAACGAGAAGTTTCTTCAATCTAATAAATTTTGTATGTTTCCAAAGAAAAATAAAATTCTAAGAAGTTGAGTTTTTTATGACATTAATTATTCCATCGACTAAAATATCATGCAAATGTTTATCGTCTACTCACAACCAGAAGTTTGTGAAGTTGTTTCTCATACTAAGATCTTAATTTTTGAAATTTTTAAAATTTTCTTTATAAGTATCACATATATCATTAAATTTGATATTGAGTATCTTATAATATGTGTTCATAAAAAAATGGACTTGAAGATCCATTTTTAGACGTCTAAAGTTAATTACATGATGGATACTTATGATATCATAGGTTATAAATTATACATTGAAAACACACAACCATGAATATTCATATATTTATTCGCATTAAGCCAACAATTTATTATATGTTAGTTCTCTCATTAACTTACAAACTATTTTAGGTTAATAACCTAATACTTCTCATCTAAGTAAACTTTTGGATGTGTTGTGTATAATTCAATTGCTCTAGTATAGTACGCTAAGATGGGTTTTGAAAGAATGTTGAGAAAATTCATTTTATATGAATATCGTATTTGTGATTTATCTTGATCTGATAATTAGACATGTGCTTGAAACTCAGTAGACTGATTATCTATTGATAAATTAATTTTTCCAATATTAAGGGAGAGAATAAGTAGCTCAAATTATGAACCAAAAGTTCAAATAAACAATTTGAAATAAAATATTATTATATTATTTGATTCTCGAAGTTTAAAATACAATTCATTTGTAAAGTCTATGAAACAAATTATCAGCGGCTAATACTCCACTCAAAGTGGATTTTTCTATTGGACAATTTAATATTGCAAATGAGTTGTAATTGTACCTAAAGCGTGGTAGGAAAGTCGATTCTAAAGTTAAAAGTCATCTATCAAGAAAAGAAACTAAAGTTAAAGATAACTCAAGTGAGGATATGAAAATTCTAAGAGTTCTTTGACATAATTTATTTTTCAGTTCCAGAAGAACTAATCAAGTACTTGAAATATGAAATAAAGTGATCTTGATAAACTATATCATGGATGAAATAGAATGGAGCTGAAATTAAGATAACCAAATAATGTCGATATTGACAATGTATTTGTATACAGTATAGCACTAAAGATGATACACGATAATGAGGATCGTAAAACAAAGTCTACCAAAGATTGTAGGTAAAGTGAGAATTGGTCAAAATGAACAGAACATGAATCAAAGTCTATCCAAGATTATAGACAATGTGTGAATTGACCAAAATGAATATATTCAATGGAATAAGAATTAAACTCACTTTACAAGTGACTCAATTTTGGACCTTAGTCCAAGCGCCTCAAGGTGTAAAACCAATGGGATATAAATGAGTTTTTATAAAAAAGCAAAATAAGAATTGTATAAAGTTTGATTTATTGCTCAATGATTTTTGCAAAGATCTCAGATTGATTTATATGAAACGTATCCACCTGTAGTGGATTTAATTTATTTTTTAATATTTTAGCCTTATAGCACATGAAAGACTTAATATGAATATGATGGATATTGAGACATCTTATTTATACGACTCACTTGATAGTGACATTTACATGAAACTCCCTAAAGAGTTTAATGTATCAGAGACACATAATTTTAATATGGAAAAAACTACTCCATAAAATTGAACAAATCTCTTTATGAGCTAAAATAATATGGACACATGTGGTATAATCGTCTTATTAAAGATTTGTTAAGGGAGAGATATACAAATAACTCCAAATATCCTTGTATTTTAATCAAAATATATGAAAAAGAATTTGATACAATAGATATCCATGTGGATGACATAAATATTATTGGAACTCCTGAAGAGTTTCCAAAAGCTATAAATTGTTTAAATAAATGGTTTGATGTGAAAGACTTGGAAAAGACAAAGTTGTTACAAGGTCAACATTTAGAACATTTAATTTGCATACACCAATAATGTTATATAGAAAAAGTGTTAAAACGTTTTTATATGGAAAAATCTCGCATATAGCAATAATGTTAAAATATTCATATATGAACAAATCTCGTATATTGTCTATCTTTATGATGGTAGATAATTGGATGTGTAAAAGATCCTTTTAGACCTCGAGAAGAGGATGAAAAAAATTAATTGGTCCTGAAGTACCATATCTTAGTGTAACTCAAACACTGATCTATGTTGCTAATTATACACACAATGATGTATCAAGTAATATTACTCTATTAACAAGATATATTTCTTCGCCTACACGAAGGCATTGAAACGAAGTCAAAATATACTTCGTTATTTTAGGGGTAAATGAACATGAGTTTGTTTTATCCGTAACCAAATTAGAATTAACAGGTTATGCAAAAACATAATATTTTTCAAATCCTCATAATGGTAGATTACACAAATTATTTGTTTACTTATAGTGGTACAAATATTTCATAGAGAACAGTGAACCAAATCATAACCAACTTCGTCTAATCATGAAGAATTTTTTAGCACTACATGAAGTAAGTTGAGAATGCGCTTGATTGAGATTATTCCAAATTCAATACACACAAAAGACTCGTGATTTGACTTCTAGAAAGAAATACAACAACCATATATGAAGATAATACTGCATGCATTGTTCAACTGAAAGATGGTTACATTAAAGGAGATCGAACAAAACACATTTTTCCGAAGCTCTTTTTCATTCATGATCTTCAGCAAAGTGGTGATTTAAGCTCCAATAATTTTTTTTTAAAAGAATACGTACTTTTTTCCTTCACTAGATTTTTTCCCACTGAATTTTTTCTAGTAAGGTTTTAACGAAGTATATCCTAAACAACCATCCAAGAGGGAGTGTTAAGAGTAATTAGAGGATATGAAATAATACAAAACTATTCACATGTATCTCTCTACTCTCCTTTCTCCTTATTTTATAACAATCGGCATTTATTAGTAACACAAGAGAAACACATATATCACACACAAAACAATAGAAGGATATAATTAAGTGGGGCTTATTATAGAAAGTGACATGATGAACCCTCACTTAGCCTCAAATGACATTAATATTAACCTAAACTACCCCCAAGGATTATTACCTTGATCAGTTTTACTCTCAGTACGTGATGCCAAAAAAAGGAAAGGGTAATGAGAAATGTATCTCAAGGGCTTTATAGTTGATGATGATGGAAGGAAAAGGAGTATGTATAACAAGACCACAATGATGATAAATATCACAGTCATAACCAAAAACACATTTGCCAACCAACTAAGTTTACTGATGACAGTGTAGAGACCAGCCATGAAAGCCAAAGATAATGAAATGAGGGCGATTCCAAGAAGTGGCATCACAGTCCTGAGAGTGAAAGTCACCAGTTCAGTTAATCCAAGTGTTGCCCAAAAGAGTATGATTGTAGCACTAATGGAACTGAACAATGATATTGTTATGAAGATAATGAAAAATTGAAACATTGCATGATTTAGGTTGTTCGCTTTTCCATCTGCTTCACCTGGAACAGCTAAACATGACGCTACTGATGCTGTGACTATAAGGGTTGAAACAATTGTGAGGTTTTCTAATCTGTCCTTATATCTTTCTGAAGCTTTTTCTTTTTCATTACTCTCTTTCTCACTCTGTTGTGATTCTTCAACATGGTTTATGTTTTTGTCTTTACCTTGATCGGTTTTCCTTGGACTTTGCTTTGCACCAGCAGATTTCAATGCAGTCCACGTAAGTTGCTGTAAATATTGCAAATATTGTTAAAAATTGCTTAACCAATTTGTAAGAATTGCTAAATTACTGTTTGTTAGGGTTTCAGAATAATTCAATGAATGATTTGGTTATGCAACAAACATACTTATAAATTTATTAGCATGTAAGAGGATAGAGTTACTTGCCTGTCTCAAAGATGATTTTTGAACCTCGTAAATCGAATTAACAATGTCAAGAGGTGTTTCATTGTTCTTGTTAACCAAATCAATATTCACCTTTTTGTTGTTTTGGTTAACTAAGTAGTATACAGTTGTGGGATGACATGATCTTGCAGCCAAATGCAAAGGGGTGTCTCCTTTATTATCCTTTTGATTTATCAGTTTATGATGTTCGGGAATTTTACTCTGCAATATATATCTTATCACCTCGTGTTTTCCATTGTTTGCTGCAATGTGAAGAATGTTACGCTCATGAGTAGTATCAAGCATCTCTGTTGGGTCTGGACAGTATTGTAACAACTTCTTCACTACTTCCACATGACCTCCATAAGAGGCTAGATGGATTGGAAAATAACCATATTTGTCTCTTTGAATGGTGCAACAGTTACATATTTCAAGTAATAAATCAACACCTTCAAGGTAACCTATAGATGCAGCATAATGTAAAGGAAGCCTTTCGTGTTTGTCCCATGAATGGATCCAAGTTTTCTTTTTTTCTACTATGATTCTCAACATTTCTATTACATAAACAAAAATATTAGCTAATGTTCTGTAATAATTGCTAATTACCTAATAATATTATCACCTAGATATGTAAAAATGTAATTACATACCTTGATTATGCATCATTATTGCTGCTATAAAAGGTGATAATCCCACTGGCAAATTATCATTTGTGATACACTTCTCTAATATTACTTCAACAGCTTCCTTGTTTCCATTTTCAACTGCAAGATAAAGTACTGTTTTCTTTTCATGATTAATAATATCTGTGGCAAATTCATAACAACTATCTGATAATGACTTATCAGACCAATCTTCAGTTTTGTATTGTTCACAAACTTTGAAAATCATATCCCCTCCAATATTTCTCTTGTCACATAACATTGCCTCATGAAACATAGTGTTTCCTTGAACATTCTCTAGTTTCACAAATTTTAATAGATCCTCCATATTCCACTTGTCATCATACTCATGTTCCAAATTATTCTTTCCATTGTATCTGAACCATTCAATTTTTATATCATGTTGTTCAAAATTAGTATAACCTTCTAATAGCTTTTTAATGGTTGAGAAGCGTCCATTTCTTGCAGCAACGTGTAATACACTATCGTTGTTTCTGTTAAATTTGAACAAAAGTTTAGGAGCACGTTCAATTAAAAGAGCAACAATGTCATTGTTACCATTCCAAGCTGCAATATGTAGCACGCTATTTCCCATAGGGGTCTCAATTTCAGTTAGATTAGAAGATTCATCTAACAAATTCATTGGACCTCCATACACCAAGTGATATGCTTCACTAATCAAATTAATTTGATTATCGAATTTGCAACATTTTTCAACGGCACCAATGAGCTCAGAGGGTTCAGCTTCAAATTCAGGTTCCTTTTCTTTACTAATCATATCCCTTGACAAGGCTTTATCTTGCTTTGGTGCATTAAAATAGAATCTTTTTTCTGGACCCGGCATTTTCAAATCTCAACCTGTTGATAAAAAGACTGTATCTTGAATATCTTCTACCCAAAATGTTGATGAATATTTTGATTCAAATTCAAATTTATCTATTGTATGATTTGTGTGATAGAACTCTTGCTATTTCTACACACACACAAAAAAAAAAACAATTAACACATTTGTTTAGTAAAAGATATTGCTACCAACACATTATGAAAGATATATACTTTTTAACATATTCTTTTTAAAATTAATATTGATTCTAACAAATATATATTACTAGATTAATATCCGCGATGCACGGTTATAAATTAACTTGTTTATTTTTTTTATTGAATTTTAAATATATTAAAAATTAATTTTTGACAAAATATGATTACAAATTTTATATTATAAATTTTTTTTATAAATTGTAATAGAGACAAAAATATAAATTAATCACATACACAAATATATATTTCATTTGAAAAGAAAATACATGCGTGTAAATTGAAAATAATATCTGTAATTTATGTTTGCAAACTTACATATTTATAAAGTAGGTTCTTTGTTTTATTTTGATTCTCATATTATTTTTTGCATTTTATTTAGATATTTTACTTTAATTTGTTAAATATATTATTTTTAGTATAAAATAACATTACTAGTTTATTTATAATTATTATTAAATAAAATTTTCAATAATATTATAAAATTTATCTCTATTTTGTCGAAATTTATAAGATTGTTGCATACTATATTATTTTTTAAGATCAACTTAAAGTGATTTATATTTGAATGTTGTGTAATAACTACTTTAAGGTTAAAAACATTTATTTCAAGTGTGTTATTTTTATTGCTATAATTTCACAAAAACAAAAAATATTTTATTATGTTTAGATTTTGACTTCTCTTTTATTTTTGAAATTTGAGAGAAATATTCTTAATATAAGAGAATATACATAGTTGGAATAATGATTGGTCTTTTAGACCATTTTGTTTAAAATAAGATAAAAATATTTTATTGTGTTTGAATTCTCTTATCTCTTTTGTGTAGTATTTTGTTATTTGACATTAATTTATTATTTGATATTATATAAAAAATATAGTAGTAAAATACGTAGACAACGTAAAAAATCATTGCATACTATATTATATTTTAAATAAGTTTAAAGTGACTTATACTTGAAAACTATGTAAGAACTATTATCAAATTAAAAATATTTATTTAAAATATTACTTTTATGTTATAACCTGTAACCTCCAATTTGTAGAAGTATATGATAGAAATAAGTTTTAGGATGTTCTACATAGGACTATATGATGATGTGACAAATCTTGTGTTATATTTAATGATGTGTTAGAGTTATAATTGATGATGTGTTGTGTTATATTTAATAATCTGTTAGAGTTATAATTGATGATGTGTTGTTAAAATATTTGATATATTGAATTTAATAGATTATATATATATATATATATATATATATATATATATATATATATATATATATATATATATATATATATATATATATATATATATATATATATATATATATATATATATATATATATATATATATATATATATATATATATATATATATATATATATATATATATATATATATATATATATATATATATATATATATATATATATTTATTATGGTTTTTGTTTTAATGTATAAAATTGATTTGAATTTTAATTAGTTTTTATAATATATAGAATATTTAATTTTAACTAATTTTATAAATTTAGTTTACAAAGATAATATCAAATGAATAATAAGAACCACAAGCTAAATAACATATATTTATAAAAATTTAAAATGTGAAAGAAGATATCTAAGATTCCTTACTCCATTTGAATTCTAATAATATGCATTAAGAGAAATAAAACATGCAAAAGAAATGTAAAAAATATGTTAAAGAATAAATATTGATCTAATATATAGAGAAAAAATAGAAAATGCATTAAAAATATAAAATAATTGTACACTAACATTCTAAAGGTAATGTTTATTCCTCTAAATTATTAAGACATTTTAAAATTAATTATTGCACCACTGTATAAAACTGTTTAAACCTATCCATTAATCTTTTATATGATGCACATAAATTTAATGACAAACCAAATATTGTCTGAACTGCTTCAAGCTCGATCACCCAGCAAATTAATCAGCTTTCTCCTTGCGAATTGGTTTCTACTGATGACTCAAAAATATAAATATATATCTATCTATATATAGAATTGTAATTGATTCTTTAATGTTCTTTACGTGTGGATTGTTAATTATCTACTCTTTCTTTTGTTCTATTTAAGCCTTTCCTTTGCAACTAAGGAACAATTCTTTTCTCTATTAACAATAAAAGATATATATCCTCCCTTTCTTCATTAGGGAGGATGAAACAAGTTTGTCAGAAGATTCAGATCCCATAGTCCTCCTTTCATTTGCTAGACTTAAGGAAAATATTTAATATTATTTAAACATGTTTATTTAATAATTGAATTCTATATCACAAAATAAATAAATAAAAGTGAATAATTAATTAGTAGAATGTAATCTATCAGGATTCGGACATATTATCTAAATTCCAGTATAGTAAAACAATAAATATTACAATATCAATGAGTTGTGATGTTTTCCAAAAAGTTTTTTTTTTTAATTAAAAATAAACGATATTCATTCAAAGTAATAGATTACTTCGTTGTAATATAAATACAAAATCGCCAAAACAAAAAGAATAAATTTGTGAATAAACTCACAACATCCATGTTAATAGCATAAAATAGTAAATTGCATAAGTCTACAAATATGATTGTATTGAAATGTCTGAAATATTTATATCTTCAGATCTGTAGCGCTAATGGCACTAAAATCATAGATTTGATCTGAACTAGATTGAAACTAATCTTTCAACCTGAAATAAATGAACACTGCACAAAGGCAGAAAAATAAAATACACCACACAAAGACGAAAAATCAAATATACACCACACAAAGACGGGAAAACAAAAATAAACCGCAGAAAGACGAAAAATAAAAAATACACCTCACAAAGACAGGAAATCAAAACAAACAATGACACACTAAAATTTCAAAATAAAAAAACAAAAGAAGCACGTGAAAATCACTTATTTAACTAATAGAGAAACAAAACAATTTGGAGGGATGATTATGTATCAAAATCGATCCAAAATCACCCCTCTCTGAGAGATGAAGAAGCACTACTACGAAAATGGGCTTTCACAGCGCTTTTTTTTGCCCTTTAAAAGCGCTTAAAAGCGCTGCCGTAGCCAGCGCTGGCGTAGGCTACGAAAGCGCTTTTTTCTGGCCAAAAGCGCTGTCGTAGGTGGACCTATCCCAGCGCTTTTTCCTTAAAAAGCGCTTTGATAGGGGGGTCTTTCCCAGCGCTTTTTGAAAAGCGCTTTGATAGGTGTGCTATTTAAATTATTATTTTTTATTTATCAGGCCTTTTACAGCGCTTTTTATGGAAAAAGCGCTTTGATAGGGGGGTCTTTCCCAGCGTTTTTTCCATAAAAAGCGATTTGATAGGGGTTCTATTTAATTTTTGTTTTTTTATTTATCATGGATTTTACAGCGCTTTTTATGGAAAAAGCGCTTTGATAGGGGGGTCTTTCACAGCGCTTTTTCCATAAAAAGCGCTTTGATAGGGGGTTTCTATTTAATTTTTTTTTATTTATCTTGCCTACGAAAGCGCTTTTTAGCCAAAAGCGCTTTCGTAGCTCATACAAATTTTTTAAAGTGAAACCTATAATTTGAGGTTCCCTGTGCGGCCTGTAATTTTTTTTTGGTCCAATAATTTAACCTGTAATTCAATCCTTATCTATACATATATTTTAAGAAATCGGTATTATATTAACAGAAACCGGTATACCATATAATATTCAATCCTTATCTATATATATGTAACTAAATCATATATAACTAAATTTGTAACCATATATACATTTGTAACCATAACTAAATCACATACAAAGTATCGTGTTAATTTGTAACCATATATATATATACATATGTAACTAAATCATATATAATTACATCGAAAATAATGCTCCACCGACACGGTCGTCATCCTGCAAAGTATGAATATGAACAACACGGTAAATTAAACAAACAATATTAAAGGCTCCAACACAATCAAACTAACACGTACAATAATATTTTATTCATACCCATCAGAATAATCTGTTTTCAATATAAAATTGACATATTTCCTCTTTGACTTCTTCCACTTGAACTTTCGTGTACGACATAGTATAGAGGTCATCAAAGTACTACATAAGAAATTATTACTTCAGTATATGCATGATGTTATTAAATGTAGAAATCATACAAAATTATTCTAAGTTATAAATCTATACCGTGCTTGGAATCTCTACTTGATTTTTATGAAGGATTTCTTTCATAAACCTCAAGCAAAAGTATCCGCAATCTACATCGTTATTCTGTAACGGACACTGCATAGAAAAACAGAATATATTTTATAGTTGTCGTGTAATTTTATCAAGTAACATAACTATTATTATAAGCAACTAATTTTGTACCTGCACTTTGATCCAAGTAATATTTGATGATTTACTCCGGGGTACCTGTGCGTCCCTTTGACTACGAAATATTTGTATTGATCTAAGAAAATAAAAACATATATTTAGATCAATCTCACAGAAATAATTAAATATATAAATATACACGAATAGTTAGAACGATCTCACTTACTGATCAACAGTTTCCTTCATAGCGGGATAGTTAGTCCATTCCCCGTCTACCGAATTCAGAAAGTACACAACTTCTTTAATCGGATCGATAGCCAACAACAACCAGTGTTTTCTAAAAATTTAAGCAACAGTTTAGAAGAAAAGTTTCTACGCAAAATAAACAAAGATATATTAGAATAAATGAAAAACTCACCCCACTGGAACAGTGTTATACGGCAAAATAAACAAGCTATCTGGGTTGCCGACGTAGGCCGTGTATCGATTCACTAAGTACTCCCTAACTGAACCC